ACTTTCTCAGACGGAAAAATCTAATGACACTACCTTCAGCCAAACTTCAACAATATTACTATGCCGGCCCATCTTTGAAGTCAGCTCGCCCGGTATATCTATTACACCTCCGGTGTCCTTTGTGGACCACTGGTCGGGAGCGGATAACACCAAGGAGCAAATGTGCTCTCAATTTGCCTTGAAGCTGCAAATTCGCGGGACCTCCAAACGAGCAACTGCGGGAGCCAACCATGATCCAACGATCGGAACCTCAATGAAAATGGATGATGTGGTGGTACCGGTAGTATCTAACATCAAGGGGAGCTGCTGTACTAGCAGAGTGACGAGTCAGTACCAAAGCTACGGTACCAGTACAGCTACCGCGACCCGAAGCTATCGTGCTCCTCCCACTTTTTCTCGGAAACTCGGTTGTTCCATACCGGACCCAATCAATCGGCATCACACCAGGAACGTCTTTCGTCCATCATTGCTTTCAATACAATTTCATTATCCTTTGTGGAGCTCCAACCAACACACAAATTCCCAGTAACATATCATCATCCTCGCCATGTTTGACTTCTCACAGACGCAGACCCACAATGGGGCTTTGTTTTCACAGCCCGCAGGGTTCCCTCTTGCCGAAGAATCTGGCAAGCGAAGTCCACAAGAAGCATTCTCGGCATCGTATCATTGCGAACGCCGGACATCATTAGAAGACCATGGGTACATCTACTCCTGGAAGAGGACCAACAGCAATGCATCCCATGATGGACAACAAATAATCAACTCTTCTTCTTCATGGGACGAAGAGGAACGATCAGATGATGATGATGCGCTGCTGTGCAATCAGCCGTCTCCCGGCAAGAAACAGAGGAAGCATCCTCGTCAAGAAGACTTAAACGATGAAGGGAGCAATCCTAGCGACGCTTATCCTTATCTTCGCAGGGGTAGCTATCAATCTCCCCCAACACAACAACGGCAGTCAGGACATCGAAAGGGACGCAATCGAGCCTTTACGGGTGAAGACTTTCAAAGGCTCATCATTTCTCAAATGTGAATTGGTCATCATTGTTCTTGCAATTCATTTTGTACACGACGACTGCCCATGCTTCAAAATTCCGGTAGTCTATCTATTGCCACGATATATATATATATATATATATATACAGATGATTATGTAGATTAAAACGGAGGCACCCTGTCTCCAGCCAAGTTCCAACAGTGTTCCATCGTCATTTCCCATTCATGCACCAGCCAAGCTCAACCTAAACCTAAACAAGCAACCTTCCCATCTTGATAGCTAATACATAAGAAACACTTGATTCAAACTCCTGATTCATCATTCTGCTCATCTACATGCATGTACTAGACTAGTACCTCAACGTTACTTGCCTTACAATCAGCCAGGAGGGGCCGGCAAAGTTTTTCCTCCCTCCATCAAAAGTTTTCCTCTTTCTTGGAGAAGTCTGATTGGCCGGATGGTACCAGAACTTTTACTCGGTAACATCCTTTTGTCGTTCACGACCTCCCTGCTTCAAGTTATTACATACAATGTCATTGTACCGTACATTGCCACATTGCCATCCAGGCACTGACGTAGACCAACAAAATCGGATCCTTGAGTTGTCATTGGAGCCGAGGTCTCATTTTTATGCTCATTAAGGTTGGGGCTTTGGATCTTTCTGACAACGGCTAAATCAACGAGTTGCTTCCCAAACTTCTGATCCAATGTTGCAAGAACTATCTACTAGACTAGCTGTATGGTATTGAAATAGCCAGAAGCAAGATGCTGCAACAGTTGCCTCCCATTCTGGCGGCAGCCTGGTCGGCTTCTCAGCCATGGCCGGTTACTGTAACGCGAGATCCTCTTCATTATCGGCCCTTGGAGGAAATGGCCAAGATTCGACAACAACAGCAAAGCACTGACAACAATCTGTTGTTACTTCCTCAGTCTCCAGTGGATCTTTTGGACGAATTGACGACTTCTTCCTCGCTTATTACTATTGATGTTGACAATCCCTTTCTTCGCACGGCTATTGGATTGCTGTACCTCTCTCGCCAGGGATTTGTCGATGAATGCCATTCCCTGGTGACGCCTCTGTCTTGGGCGGATGCTACCGCCGTCGGCTTTGGTCCTCCTGATCCTTCGACGGATGCCGAAGTGACGGCGACGTATGCTCATTGTTTGGTACATCGATGGGAGGGAAGTCATGTTGGTGAGCTGAACATGGTGGGGTACAGCAATGCCAATTTTTGGGGCAAGGCTACTGTTCGTCGAGCGGAAAAAGCTCCAGCAAACTGGTGCCATATGAAGCTATTCGTAAGGAAATGGAATCTCTGTTGGGAATTTCGGACGCTCCTAGTAGTGAGACTGTTCAGACCATAAAAGAACCATTATCCTCGGAGGCCATCGAAGCAGGAAGGACGTGGTTCGAGGAATGGATCAAGTCAGACCTACCAGACGGTGGCTGGGAACCAAGAGCATTGAATGAACTCTGCAAAACACTAGAAGGTTTGCGAAACCCTGACGACCCAATGGCTGAATTTGGGTCTCGAGCGGCGCAATTGGAATGTGATGTTTTGATTCAGTACTGTTTGGAAAAAGCAGGCTATGTCGTACCAGAGCCCCAATCCAGAACAAAAACCAACGCTCCACAGGCTAAAGACACGACAATATGCGATGAAGACCGGGACACAGCTCTACGTGCAGCGGGCAGAGTGTCTTCGGCACACTCTAACGCATTTCAGCAAAATGGAATCATTATCATTCGGAATGCACTGATAGATGGACCTGAAACTGTGTCCTCGGCGGCCGTCGCCTGTCGTTTGATGGGTGCACCTGCTTGTAGGAATTTCGAGCAAGATGATGGCTCACCTTCCGCATATGTCTACTACACCGATCAAACAGAAACAGTGGGTGAATTCGACCTGGCTCCAGGCGATCTCTTGGTATCCTCCTTCGAGAGAATCAGCAGCCATCAGGCCTCTCTTGTCACTTGGAAGGGAGCATATGTGGCTTGCTCCGCTGAGGACAACAATGCAGTATATCGTGATACTCTTTTTGGGACCAGGGGTGAAACTCCCACCAC